TCGGCCTGGCCCGTCCCAGCTGTTACAGTCATTTGGGGTGTGTACCAACAGATCCAACATTCATATTCATTCTCTCTCAAATAAAAAAAATAAATCTTTAAAAAATGTATTATTTTTAAACAAAGCAATGAACAAAAAGTACTGAAGTAATACATTTTCTTGAACATGCACAAATACCTAGATGTTGTTATTTTAGATCACTGTATTTACATGGTCTTAGCAATAAACAAATGGCACAGTCAAAATGGATTATTAAAAAGTATTTAATGAACTGTTTTCAGATATGGGAAGGAATAAGAGAAAGCAGTAAGGTGTAATAAAGTACCCCAGACCTGTCAACAACAGAAAGTTCTTAACCCACTTAGTGCTGAAGGATGAAAGACAGGGCAAGGTACAGGGACCTCGGGACAATTAGAGCCGTAGGGAAAGGCTTCCCAGAATCTATGGTCTTGGGTAGAAGAATGCAGCGACTGCCATCACATGGCTATTCTACAGAAAGGAGTGAATTAAGGGAATAAATAATCGCATTTCTCACTCTCAACCTTTTTAATTCTCCTCCCTATGCTTCCCACTGGCTACCAAAAGCAAGCAAGAAAAGTAGTCAGGTCACTGTGGTCCACAAAGATAAGCATCTCAGGGCACAAAGAGGGAAATGGGAGAAGAGTATATCTGGGAGAAGCGAGTTGATTGAACATAGCCCATTCCTTTGTCCCCTGTGTCATTAAAATTTCCTTCCTTTCCCAAGTATTAGCTCTCTAACCAGAGAAGCAAAATGGAAAACAAGAAGGAAGTGACCAACTGAGAACAAAAGTAGAGAAAAGATTATACCAGGGACTTAAAATTCACACACACACACACACACACACACGCCGGTCCTTTATCTACTTGGATGAAAAACGGAATCTCAAACACAGGGGGCACGTAAAGTCCAATTCAGTCACATTCCGACCTAGAATATAAAACACCATAGTTCTTTAGTAGGGCAAGGGGAGGAGGGGAGTGGCAGTCAATTAATATAACACATAGCCATTACCACTGTGGTATCTATAGCCAGCTAAAATAAACTGATAATCATGGCGTCCTTTTCTATGATCAAGTTCATATTCAATTTCTCTTCTTCCAATATCTTGGCTAGATAGTCTCTTTACCTGAAAGAAGAATCTTAACTTACATTTCTGCATATCTGAGCCTTTGTTTGTCCTGATGCTTTTTATGGCTGAGCACAGCTTTCTATTAGCCAAGACTAGTACAACAAGAGAATACTAAGAGCTGTTCCTGAATTCTCTGGACTTCACACTGACTCACAATTGCTTCCACTGTGTACCAGTAACCCTTTTTCACCCTGAGTAACTTGAATTGACTACTCTGGCCAGTACACTGACTTTCTCTGTAGCTTCCTCAAGAACATGATCAAGAGGAAGTCTCACCTTCCATCATAACGGAACCACAAATGTATTCTTGCACACTGGGATGTTTAAAGGCATTAGATGAAAAGCACAGGAATAAGAAACACACTCTTCTAGGGAGCTCTTAGGTGTAAACTGCAAACAGTACTTCTACTTCCATCTCTTGATTCCCTATACCCAGACATTTATACTACGGCAAAGAGGGTATCATATTTTGCTTACTATTTGAGCAATATTAAACATCTTATATGACAACATCCGTATATTGCAAGGTGTCATCCTCCAGCTGGTATTAACTGAAACTTTACCAAAATATTCCAGAGTTCAAGCAGAACAACTGTTCTTGGGTAGTGGAGTAAAGTTGCATAAAATCATTAAATTTCCCTTGCCTGTGCTTATTGCTTCATTCCCTTTTCCGTAAAATGTGTCTCTCATTTATAGATGAAGCTGTGTGCTGTACCACAACAAATGTAATGCATTCTGGGTACATAAGTTAAGTGGAAGTACTGGCCAGGAAAAACAAACCATATGCAGATTCTAGGTATCTTCTTTTGAAAACAAATTGCTTCCCCTTCTGGAAAAGATCCAATATAATCAATGTGACACCAGGCAGCTGGAAAGCTCCCCAAGCATGTTATAGAAAATGAAGACTCAAACTTTGTCCTCTCTTACTAAAAGGTAATGTATTTAGCAGCTATGGTAGCCATATCACGAGCCTTAATCAGCTGAAATCCTGTTTCATAAAAATTTGCAGTCTCCATACTTTTTGCCATGACCACTTAGTCGGTAAGCCCATTGTGTAATCACCGTGCCACAATTACACATTGTGTAATCACTACTAGCCATAAAATATATCATTCTATATATCAGAAAGCCTCTCACATTGAATGTCCTTTAGTGGGGCATAACATTTTTTAAAAGGTAAATCTCCTCCTCCTCAGTGCCCATTTTCAGAAGTTCATTCCCATGCCTTGCCTTAATTGTTGTCACCAATTTTCCAACTGCACTAAGTGCCCATCTAGCCAGCTAACTTTACCCATGAATTGCCATAGGGCCAAACCCAGATTATCTCTGTGTCTATGCACAATGGAATCTCCATCTACCTAGGATACACCCACACATCCCTAGTGCACCAACTGGAGTCATGACCAACCACGGAGTTATCCTTCTCCTCCATTTTCTGGGTGACCCCTGATTGGGGTCTCTAATGTAGTGGCCATCCACATACCACAGTATGTACTAGCATACTATGAAGACACAAACATTAAACCAGACTTATCTTTCTGTCCCCTTCAGTAGCTGTTCCTAGGGACCTCTCCTTGAAAACATAGATGTATGGGAAAGGAGAGAAAAGGAAATAAATACCAAGGCAGTCTGAACTGCTGGCTCAGCATGTACTTGTGCCTTCCAGTTCTGCTGAGGCTTTGTTTTGAATGTACCAGTTCATTTAAAAGTGGAAAGCTGCTGCACACATCCAATTTTATGGATCAGATAGCACCTAGTTCATAAATAGTAGTGTGGGATTGCACAGCCACTTGGGAATTCCACAATCAGGTGTTCAATCTTTCTGGGCATATCAAGGCAGAAACTCATTTTCAAATGGAGAATATCTGCTAATCAAAAAGGCATGCTCTTGCAACAGAGTAACTCCAGAGTGATCTAAGTTTTTCCCCCCTCTTTTAGTACTTGTCAGAGATTTCATATATCATTTCTGCCATACACCCACACATCCCTAGTTTCAGCTGCCTGTAAGTAGATATATACAATATTTTGTTCACTGTAGCTTTTTACTGTACTCTCTGGGACATCCATTCTTACCCACTGGAATTGGCTACTTTAGCAAAAGTGGGCCACATTATCAATTGAATAGCTTTGATATCTCCTATGCTGTAGCTACAAGCGATGGATTAAATATGTAAATTGCAATCAGAGGATTTTTAAAGGCATAATACGCATTGAAAAAAGAAACAAAATTGATAATGTAATGCAATTTTCATAAATTAAAATTGTTCTCAGGGCAAGCATTCAGCATAATATTGAAATGTCTAAATTAAAGAGCTGGCTCTGCTCCCAATTCCAGCTTCCCACTAATTCACACCCAGGAAGGCAACATGTGATGGCTTAAGTGACTGGGTCTCTGCCATCCATGTGAGAGACCCGTATCAAGTTCTGGGCTCCTGGCTTAGCGTTGGCCCAGTTCTGGCTATTGTGGCCATTTGGGGAGTGAACCAGCAGATGGAAGACCTCTCTTTCTCCCTCTGCCTTTCAACTAAATAAATCTGGGCCTAGTGCTGTGGCGCAGTGGGTTAGAGCCCCAGCCTGCAGCGCTGGCATCCCATATGGGCGCTGGTTTGAGTTCCTGCTGCTCCTCTTCCAATACAGCTCTCTACTATGGCCTGGGAAAGCAGTAGAAGATGGCCTGAGTCCTTGGGCCCCCGCACCCGTGTGGGAGACCTGGAAGAGGCTCCTGGCTTCTGATCTGCTCAGCTCTGGCTGTTGTGGTCATTTGGGGAGTGAACATATCTAACAGGAGCTCAAACACAATGAAAAGCTATGGTTTTTTGTGTGTGGGTTTTTTTTTTTTTTTGGGGGGGGGGGTGCGCCAAATAAGACCAATAGTAACCTATGGTTCAGGAAAACTTAATTTTGATCTTACTAATTTCCACATGAGTCAACATTTATAATATCTGTTTCTAGGGCTTAACCCAATGTCTTGCATTAAAAAGGGTGATATCTTTATTCAGACATTTTCACTAAACTTTCCAAAGTCACCCTTGGCTTGTCTCAGAAACCTCTTCACAAGATGATAATGAAGCCTTTAGAATTATTTTGGAGATTACTGCTTCAATGTAAAAGTATAACTAATGAGAAGAAATAGTCTAATGCTTAAAAATCCACTGACTCTTTTTAGCACTTGAATGAATTTGATGGTGAAACTACTTAATGTTATTTTTGATTTATCCATATTTATTAAAGGATAACTTTTTCATGAAATGAGCTTTCACCACTAATTTGCCAACAAATCAAAGCCTTCACTCTATATATTTACAAGCCAAAGTGTTCGTTATTAATTGCTTGAACTTGGTAGAATTTTAATTTTCAAAGGGACAAGCTGAATAATTTATTTCCTGAGTGGACAACTATGACAGTTTGATTGCCAAGTGGCATTTGGATCTGTAATCAAATATCTCAATTCTGTTTATATAGTCAGTGGAAACTAAGAGAAGTCACTTAGAATAACATGTATTTTCCTCTAGAGATAATACATCTTACCGTATTATATGCAGTTTGATATTTCCTATCATTGGTAGCATTCTCTTTGTGAGACCTGAACCATCAAGTAAGATACATGACTACACAAGGACTACCATACTGGAGAGATGACATACAGGCATAATGACCAACAGCTGCAGAGAAGGGCTGGCTTCCAACTATCCGTAACAAAATATCAGGCATATGAGCAATGTTATATTACACATTGATACCAACCCGTGGCTCAGCTGAATACCACTCCGTTAACTCAGTAGATATCACATGAAACAGAAAAGTGACCAAACCTATCCAGGCCTGATTCCTAACAAAGGGTCTCCTCGATCAAACTCAGGATCCTCTGAGCCCTCTTTTTGACTAAACCTCAGTCAACCTTGGCCTATAAAGACTGCAGACTCTGAGCACAGAGATCTGAAGAAGCACTAACATAGCTTCAAACAGCTCATGCCTGCTAAGTATTTTACTGTTGTTCCAGCCAACTCCTGAAGGTAAGGGCCCTGTCTCCTAGTTTCTATGAAAGGGTAAGAATCCCAGGATTTTCCCTCCTGTGTGTTTTCCTCATGCTTCTTCATGGTCCATGATGCCAGCTGAGGTTGTCAGTACAATGAAACCCAACTGGCGGGATGGAAGCAGATTATTCTGCCATTTTTCTAGATCTTTCAACTGCACATCAAATCTGGGGTTGATCACTCCGTACTTGTTTAACCTGCCAGTGAGGTTCACCACGATCTTCCCAGCTCTGTGATCGTCAATGATTTCAAACTCACCAATGTAACCATGCTTCATCATCACAGTCAGAAACCTGAGCATGACTTTGGAGCACGGCCTGATAAGAACCTGGCGCTTGCCTCTCTTCTCCGCATTGTTGATGCTCTTGTGAGCATCTGCCAAGACGTTCATGGGCACCATCGCAGCGGCTCGGAAAGATGGCGGAATTCCCCTTCTTCATTCTCTTATTATGCTTTTAAGATGCCCAGTCATATTTAAACAAACTGAATTTTGAGTTCAGTTCATGCTGGACTTCTTCCTATGACAATAGTTCTTGCCGATTAAAATCTGTTCTTACTGTTTTCTTACTTTTGGACAGTCTTCACTGTCAACATTCTGAGATACAATAAAATGACTATTGTTTTAAAAAGCCCTGATTTTCAGATTGATCTTCTATGCATAAATAGGTAACAAAGAGGTGGAAGAGGCACTCTGGTAAGAATGCTAGATATTTATTCAAAACATATTGTCTACATGGGACTACATCACTTGGTAGAATATAACTAAATGTATCTGGGTTTTACCTTTAAGGTGGGTACAGATAAATAATGGAAAGAAAAGCCAGCTAGGGGAGTCAGCATTGTGGCCAAGCAGGTTAAGCATCACTTGCAACACTGGCATTCCATACCAGGGTGAAATTAAGAGTCCTGGCTACTTTGCCTCCCATACAGCTGCCTGCTAATTGTGCCTGGGAAGGCAGCAGAATATGGCCCAAACACTTGGGGCCCGATCACCCATGTGTGAGACCAAGATAGAATTCCTGCTGCGTGGCTCCAGCCTAACACAGATCTGACCATTGTGGCCATTTGGAAAGTGACCCAGTATATGGAAAATGATTTTCTCTCTCTCTCTCTCACTCTGCCTTTCAAAACTAAATCATTAAGGGGGGGGGGGGGGAGGCCAGGCAGGTAAGGAGAAACCATATCACATTTATTAAAAACATGGATTTGGACAAATATACTAGCTCTATTAATGACTAGCTAGTAGTTTTTCTAAAAAACTGTTTAATCATTCTGGCCTAAATTTTCTCATCAGTATAACAGTGATAATCCAATGAACCAATATGGTTCCTGTTAGGACTAAATGAATTTATTAAAAAAAAAAAAAAAAAAAGCAATAAGCTATCATCATTTGTAAAGAATTTACATGGTAGCCATTTTATTGTCGAAATTCCTATAATGTCAGTGTGTTAATCACAAGGGAAAAAGACACCTCCTAATGTCAAAAAGGAAGAACATAAGGTCTGCTAAGCTATTTGAACTGACCAGCCTACCTACTTTTAGAACCCCTGTATTCTTTCACTTCTTATACCACACAGCATAGAAAGCTGAATATTTACTTTCCTGAGCTCACTAGTACCTAAAATCATCTATATAATCCAGTTTGGCTCAGAGAATACGAAAAGTCAATAATACCATTCCAGGAAAAACTTAGATTTTTAGTTTATTTATTTATTTATTTATTTTTAGTTTATCTATCACTTCTTCCTCTTCCTCCTACCTCGAAAATGCCAGTGATGACCAGAGATGGTGCAGTCATCTTGCATTATCAAAATGGGAGCACAAATGCCAAGAATAACAGTATGAATAGAGAAAATATTCTCATCCTTGGGTATATCAATAAGGCATCATACTTACCTGGAATGACTAACCCCATGTCTCTTGCTTTAACACAAATAAAATCCATTGTTTAAAGCTGCATTTGTCAGATAGGTTATTCACTGCAGCTAACAGAAATGTTGCCAAAAGGCCAGAATTGTGGAGCACTCAGTTAAGCCACTGCTTGTGAAACCAGCATCCCATATGAAACTGCTGGTCTGAGTCCCAACTGCTCCACTTCCAATCTAGCTTCCTGCTAATGCACCTGGGAAGGCAGCAGAAGGAAGTCCAGGTGCTTGGGTCTGTGCTACCCAAGTAGGAAACAAGAAGGGAATTCCTAGCTCCAGGCTTCGGCCTAGTACAGACCTGCTACAGCCATCTGAGGGGTGAACCAGTGGATGGAAGGTTTCTCTCTCCTCTCACTGTCTGTCTGCCTTTCAAATAAATAAATAAACCATTTTTAAAAAAAGAATCTCGCTAATACAGAAGAAAGCTTAGTGGAAAAAACAATGTTTTCAGCTGTGAAAGAAACATTGTGAGCTACTTTCAGAGACAGGTAGCACTACAGGGACTTCACAAGGAACAACATTAAAAAAAAGTGAAAAGTAAATACATACTTAACAGTCCTACAAATAAAAAATATTGAAAAACACTAAAAGCAATCTACAAAACTTGATTAATCAAAAGGAACAGTTTCTTTTTATTTAATTTTGAAATTAGGTCATTTTAAATATATTTTGTTATTTTAACTTATTAAGGATGATGTATGAAATAAAAGCAGAACAAGGTATAGAAGCTGGTGTTACGGCACATCAGGCTAAGCTGCCAAAGCCTGCAACGCTGGCATCCCATGAATGCCAGTTTGAGTCCTGGCAGTGCCACTTCTGATCTAGTTCCTTGCTAATGAGCCTAGGAAAACAGAAGATGGACTATGTACTTGGGCTCCTGTCACCCATGAGGGAGACCCAGGTGGAGTTTCTGGTTCCTGGCTTCAGCCCAGGCCACCTTGGCCATTTGGGGAGTGACCAGCAAATAGATAATCTTTCCTTCTCTGTCTCTCCCTCTCAAACTCTACCTTTCAAATAAATCTTGAAACACACACACACAGGTCATCAAAGCTCTTGCTAAAGTTTTATCTGAAAGATGGGAGAACCCATTTAATTTCTCCAAAGTTATAACTTACTTCAGTAGAAATGGATTTCTTACTATTGGAGAAAAAATATATATTATCCTTCAAGTTTCAAAAATACAACCAAATAGGCAGAGGGTTAGCCTACTTATTGAGCAGTCTCAGGTAAGAGTACCTGGGTTTGATGCCCAGTTCCAGCTCTTAATTCCAGCTTCCTATTGGTGTGGACCTCTGGAGACCGCAGTGATGTAAAACCGAGGCATTACACAAAACTTGACAGTCTGCTTTTACCTATTCTTCCCCACAAGCACACAAATAAAAACTTTGTGCTTCAGAAGACTGAGGGTACTATATCATATTTTAATAAATGAGTGATCTCCTTTAAGGTATTGTTATTAAATAACAAAAGCATTTTACTCAACAGTAAAGATTACATATTTATAAATATTACTGAGTACAAATTTTCTTGTTTCTCTGAATCTAAAACAATCACATATTGTGAACATATAATCAGCTTATACAATATATCTACCATTTTCTAATTTTTAACACAAGCTTAAAATATGAAATGATCTCTTATAATAGAAGACTCATTCAGCTAACTGAAATGACAGCCTACATTTCAGAGCTAAGACAGAATAGTTTAGATATACAACAAAGACTAATGGGGCCAGTGTTGTGACACAGAGGGTTAAACTGCTGCCTGTGAAGCCAGTATCTCATATGGAGGCCAGTTCAAGTCCTGACTGCTCCACTGTGGATTCAGCTCGCTGCTAATGCACTTGGGAACACACTGGAAGATGGCCCAGGTGCTTGGATCCCTGCCTCCCATGTGGCAGACCTGGAGGGAGGTCCAGGCTCCTAGCTTCAGGCTAGCCCAGCTCTGACTATTATGGCCATTTGAGGAATGAACCAGCAGATAGAAGATCTCTCTCTCTCTTTCCCTCTCTAATTCTGCATTTCAAATAAATAATTTTTGATGCATAACAACCACTGTTGTGTTATGATTACCTGTGGTATTCAGTAAACATTCTGTGCAAGTTTGTAGCCTAGGAGATAAAATACGCTCTACATCCTAGGTTTGTAATAGGTTATACCATACCCATTTGTGTACATACATTCTATGATGTCAATATACAAGAATAAACTTACTTAACAATGCATTTCTGAGAGTGTATCCCCATAATTAAGTGATGCATGCCTCTCATACCAAATAGAAAAGGAGTGGCCATATTTATTTGAGAAAATAGATACAATTTCAAAAGCTGTGAAAAGACAAAGCACATTACATATAAAATTCACAAGGAATATATAACAAAGATAGAGATCAATGCACAAAACATCGGAGCATCCAAATATATAAAACAATGACAAAATTAAAGGTATAATAGACAAAGCACAATACGAGTAGATGATTTCAGTAAACAACTTTCAATAATGGATACAACTACTAGACAGAAGGTGAATAAGGGAACAGAGGACTTGAACAATGCTATACACCAAATGAGTCTACGGATATATACAGAACATTTGTGGAAAATAGTAACAAAAGACATTCTTCAAGTAGAAATGTAATATTTTCCAGGACAGATCCCATGTTAGGCCACAGAACAAATCTTAGCAAATTTAAGAAGATTGAAATTATATAATTATCTTTTGCAGTCGCAATGAAAGGAAACTAGCCACCAGTAGCAGAAAGAAGAAAATATAAAGATATGTGGAAATTAAACAACACACTCCTAAAATATCAATGGTTCAAAGAAAATTAAAAAGAAAATCGTATATCTTGAGAAAAACAAACATAAAAAACACAACACATCAAACAGAAAGAATGCAACAAAAGCAGGATGTTAACAACATTAAATGGCTACATCAAAAAGAAGAATGCTTTCAAATGAAAAAAAAAATCTAACTTTGCACTTCATGCAGATAGAAAAAAAGAAAATTCTAACCCCAAAGTTAGCAGAAAGAAAATAAATATTAGGGTAGGAATGCATCCAATTGAGAATAGAAAAACAAATAGAAAAAAATAAATCAATGAAACTAAGGAGTGATGTTCTGAAAACATAAATCAAAAAAACATTAAGTGGTCTAAGAAAAACAAAAGGAAAATAAAATCAGAAATAAGGAAGAGTCATTACAACTAATGTCAAAGAAACAAAAAGGATTAGAAGAGAAAACTTTGAATAAATTATGCCAACAAAGCAGATAACTTAGAATAGATTAATTCCTAGAAACATTCTACTCACTCAAGACTGAATTATGAAGAAACAGAAAACTTGAACACAGCCATAGCTAAAAAGGATATTGATCAGTAATCAAAAACCTCCCAACAAAAGTCCAGAAATGGATTGGTTCACTGGAGAATTCTAGCAAACCATTAAAGTCATAATTTCTCAAACTCTTCCCAAAAACTGAAGACAAGGAAATACTTCTAAATTTATTTCCTCAGACAATTATTTCCTTCATACAAGGGCAGGTAAAAAACAAAATTGTACTAGAAACCAAAAATATGAAAATGTATGTGTATGTGTGTGTGCGTGTGTATACACAAACATTCAATATAATACTGGAAAATCACTTCAATAGCACATTAAAATGCTATATACCATCACCAAGTGGGATTTTATTCACTTATTCTTGGGACACAAGGATGGTTCAACTTACAAAAATCAATCAGTGTAATAGACTACATACACTGACAGAGTGAAGGACAAAATTCACATAACATCACTAGATATAAATAGGCCTGACAAAACTCCGCATCCTTTCATGATAAAATCATGCAACCAACTAGAACTAGAAAGATATCACATAAACATAATAAAAAGTAAATACAAAAGAACATTACTAACATACACATGAGAAACTGAAAGCTTTTCTTGTAAAATGAGGAACAATGCCCACTCTT